TTTATTCATTTTTTGGGGGGACTATAGCTAACGTTTATAGTACACTTAGAACGTTCTAGAAGTCTAAGTGCTTTATGTATATTTTTTATTTATTTTTTTGAGACAGTCTCACTCTGTTGCCCGGGCTAGAGTGCCATGGCGTCAGCCTAGCTCACAGCAACCTCAAACTCCTGGGCTCAAGCGACCCTCCTGCCTCAGCCTCCCGAGTAGCTGGGACTACAGGCATGTGCCACCATGCCTGGCTCATTTTTTGTATATATTTTTAGTTGGCCAATTAATTTGTTTCTATTTCTAGTAGAGACGGGGTCTTGCTCTTGCTCAGGCTGGTTTCGAGCTCCTGACCTTGAGCGATCCTCCCGCCTCGGCCTCCCAGAGTGCTAGGATGACAGGCATGAGCCACGGCGCCTGGTCACACATACTTAACTTTTTTTGTGATAGAAACATTTAAAATCTACTCTCTCAAACTTTCAAGTACGCAAAAGATTATTAACCTTAGCCACCATGTTATATAATAATCTCTGGAACTTATTCCTCCTGTCTAACTAAAATTTTGAACCCTTTGTCCAACGGTAGACTTAAGTCAGGGGATAGGCAACATGATATCTTTAAACAAGTGCTGCCTGTTTTCTCCAGAATTCGTATCATTTGTAAACAGAGTCATGCAGCTACTTAAGAACCTGAGTTAGAGATAAATGCTTGAGTATAACATTTCGGGGGGGAGGAGGGGACCTGCAACCTCACGGCCACATGTGGCCCTCCAGATGCCCAAATGTGGTCCCTTGACCAAATCCAGATTTCACAGAACAAAGCCCTTTATTTGAAGGATTTGTTGTGTAAAATTTGGATTCCGTCAAAGGCTGCACTCAAGGATCCAGAAGGCCACATGTGGCCCCAAGGCCAGAGGATCATTGATTACGTGGACAACTGTTTCTGATTTTATGCTAGAGAGTTCTTGTAAGGGAGTGAGCCTGAGCGTGTGAGCTAGCATTTGGGATCTTCTGGCTAATTCTTTTGACGTCTGCCCTCTTAGATGCTTGCAGGCTCCCATCACATGGGTCTTCTGCAAAGAATTCCCAGGACAGTGATGGGCTTGTTGAGTCACGTGGCAGCCTTCTTAACCAAAGGACATGGCCGGTATGTGGTCACCCCTCTTGACCCAGACCATCCATGAGAGGGGTGTGGAAGCAGAGCTTTTACTTCCTTGATCTATCGTGAGACTTATCTTAGGCTCAAGACCACATCTTCATTTCATAATATCATCTGCATATACAATACTCATCAAAGACCCATAACAGTCCAGGCCTTGAATGCAAGAAAAATCTGTACAAGCCACGATTTCTGCCTCTGGGGAAATGGCCTTTTGAAAGGAAAGAAGTTTGGCCAGGTGCGCTAGCTCACGCCTGTAATCCCAGCACTCCGGGAGGCCGAGGTGGGAGGATCGTTTGAGCTCAGGAGTTCGAGACCAGCCTGAGCAAGAGCGAGACCCCTGTCTCTGCTAAAAATAGAAAGAAATTAGCCGAACAACTAAAAATATATAGAAAAAAATTAGCCGGGCGTGGTGGCGCATGCCTGTAGTCCCAGCTACTCGGGAGGCTGAGGCAGGAGGATCGCTTGAGCCCAGGAGTTGGAGGTTGCTGTGAGCTAGGCTGACACCATGGCACTCTAGCCCGGGCAACAGAGTGAGACTCTGTCTCTAAATAAATAAATGAAAGTAAAGAAGTTGAAAACACACACATGTTGAATTTTTTCATAGGACAAATCACTTTGCCTTTCCGTTTCTCTCTTATTTTCTAAAAATGGGACATAATAAAGATGACCCTCCTTAAGTATTTATTAGCCTGAATAAAGAGATCATTGTTCGCTGTTTTGAAAAGAGCCCTGAATGAAAATGTGATGTAATTGACCCAAGACACACCTGGCTCAAGCTCTCTGGGAATATTTTCCTGATGAACTGGGCATCCAATATTCTGGCGGTTTCTTCTCCAAAGAGCTACCCTAGAACCTCCGTTGACCTTTACTTCTCTCTAGGGGGGCTCTTCTCTGTTCAGTACAACACGGACTCAGCCAGCCAGCTGTCTGCAGTATGGGGAAGATTCTTCTTGCAGGGAGAAAAATTACAAGGGAGTGTGACTCATAAAAACATAGGTGTGTCCCTGGTCTTGTTGGTCATTTCATTGTGCTTTGACATACGTCCTTATTGTCCTTATTGTGACTTTCTAACCCTGAACGCAGCATTTTCCTGGCCCCTATCTAAACCCGTTTAGTGAAGAGAAAACAAACAAGAAAACAGGAGGGGATGGGAGACGTCTAAGATGACATTTAAGAATAAATGGGAGAGCCCAGCAAAGCATGGGGCAAGGATTAGGGATAGGGTTGTTTACTGGAAAGGAAGCTAAGAAGCAATCCATTCCAGCTGAGGGTAGGATTTTATCCCCAAGGGATTATTTAATTAGGATTACATTGAGTGGCAGGTGATAGAGAATTCAAGTTGTCTTGGTTTAACAAAGTTTTATTTATTTATTTTTTTTTCATGTGACACAAAGTCTGTGGATAGGAAGCCCAGACCTAGTATGATGTTGTCATGATGCCACCAGGAGTTAAGACTCGATTTGCTTTTTGACTTAGCTTTCATCCTCACATTTGTCACCTCATGGGCTCAAGATGGCTGCTCACTGCAGCATCACATCCAAGTTCCAGGCAGAAAGAACCAGGCAGGGAGGGGAAAACAAAGTGCACCAACTGGGACTCCCTCCTTCAAAGAGCTTTCTGGGATGCCTCATCCAATAATTTCTGCTTATACCTCATTGCAGTATTGTGTCACATGACCACACATCTGCAAAAGAGGCTAAGTACATTATCACCGTGAATGAAACCCGCCTGGGCGATTAGCAGTGGTAGCAATAGCGACATAAAGCAACAACAGAACACAATGCCTTTGTTTTCACATGTTGTTAATTTTAACCCCTTAAAATGCAAAAAAAGGAAGATGGGCAGGCACCCTTCTTTGTTTCGTAGAAGACATGTCCGGAGTCAGAAGCAATCTGGCATGTTCGAGATCGTCAGGAATATAATCCAATAGCAACATGAAGCCCACAGCCTTTATTACACATCATGCTACTGAGCGGCTGTGATCTATACAGTAGGTCCTGAATATCCAAGAAGCGCACGGTCCCAGACCTTCGTAAACTTTCCATATTCAGGAAAAGACAATTAACACACAATTGCCTTAATAGTATAGCAGGAAAGAAGGGATAAGAAAAGAACAGCAAAGCCTCTTGGAGATTGGTGCAAAGCTGCCAGCAAAGCTCATTCCCTATTATTAATCGTTATTGATAACAATAGCTAACACTCACTGAGCCCTTTGTTCTTTATAGACAGTCCCTCATTCCACCTTCATGACAACACTCTGAGTTAAGCACTATTTTTATTATTGTCTCTCTTTTATGGTGGAGGACACGGAGATTCAGAGAGGTTAAGCAAACACGCGAGTGTCACACAGCCAGCGTGTGGCAGAGCTAGGACTCAAACCTCAAGCTTCTCTGACTCTAGCACCTAAATTACAAAGCCAACTTCCTCCCTGCTGCTCCTCACCCGCTCGGACTCACTGTTAGCATGCCACCTTGCAGGGAATGGAATCCAAATTTGGGCTGCAACAAAATTATGAATTGTATTGCATGCCATGCTTTAGCCAAGTGGCTTGTCTGTGCTCTACGCTGTTCTAAACTAGTTCAATCTGCACATTCTAAGGGTCTACTGTCTTCAAATTCTTTTAGCCTTGCCTCAGGTAAATGCAGATGTCTGAGGCCAAATTCCTAATTACTATGCAGTTCATCGCAATTGGTCTGATCCCGTAGACCAGGGGTCCTCAAACTATGGCCCGAGGGCCACATGCGGCCCGCTGAGGACATTTATCCGGCCTTCTGGGTGTTTTTGCCGCCCTCGCTGCCTGTCCTGCTTAGCAGCCGACTGGTCCTGGGCCCACAGTGCGCATGTGTGGAATGTGCCCGCACTCTCCAACGGCCTGAGGGACAGTGACCTGGCCCCCTGTTTAAAAAGTTTGGGGACCCCTGCCGTAGACTTTTCTCTGGTCTTCCTATCAAGTGTACTTGCTATCATTGCTTGGTTGTCATTAATGTGATTCATGTAATTATCCCCTTGAGCCATTTCTAGTAAGATTTAGGCCTTGACTTGGCGAAATGGACTTTAATCTTGAATACGGGGCAGAAGGAGGGGAGGGCTGGGGGCTTCTGTGGCATTCCAGAGGCTGGGCATGCAAGCAGGTCCCAGTGTTAAGACGAAGAAGTGGGGCGACAGTCTAGAATCACAGATCTTAAAGGGGGGAAGAGATGATGCAGCCCAGTCTTTGCCGACCAGGCAGGTAAGACGCTATTGCTCCATTTCAAAGATGAGAAGACTGAGGCTCGGGGCTTAAATGAAAGGCCCGGGGTCATACATCTGGCGTCAGAGCCTAATTCAGTCACTCGGGGGAGGAGGAGGAATGGGGTGACACCTTTCCTTAGAACAAGAACCGGTACGTTGTTTACACAGAACTTTATGTCTACTGGGACACTGTCATTCTGAAAGAGAACAACATAACCTATTTTTTTTTTTTTTTTTTTTTTGAGACAGTCTCGCTTTATTGCCCAGGCTAGTAGAGTGAGTGCCGTGGTGTCAGCCTAGCTCACAGCAACCTCAAACTCCTGGGCTCAAGCAATCCTCCTGCCTCAGCCTCTCGAGTAGCTAGGACTACAGGCATGCGCCACCACACCCGGCTCATTTTTTCTATACATTTCTAGTTGGCCAATTAATTTCTTTCTAGTTTTTAGTAGAGACGGGGGTCTCGCTCTTGCTCAGGCTGGTTTTGAACTCCTGCCCTTGAGCGATCCCCCCCCCCCCGCCTCGGCCTCCCAGAGTGCTAGGATTACAGGCGTGAGCCCCTGCGCCTGGCCCTAACCTATTCTTGTATGGAGCCAATTTTCAAAATCTGCAAAGTAGCCATTGCTTCCCTTGCATATGTCAGCGTGTTCAGGACAGTGACACATGAAACGTTTTAAATGCGCATTCTAAATATGCACACGACGCTCAGCAGTGGTGGAGTTGGCTCATATCTAAGCCGTGCCCGTGTGGCAGTAGCTGCAGGCTCACTTTGAGCTCGGCTCTCCAGGCTGCTCCTGAGATGCCGATGTCTCGCAGCGTGTGTCACTCCCGAGAGCCACAGGGAGGGCAGCCTGTGATCGTTCGCTGCTGCACCCCGTGGGCTCTGAGTGTGCCACGCTCATGCCCTCTCCCGACACGCTCAGCTCCCAGCCCGGCTGCTCCCAGGCCAGTGATGTAAATGCACCAGCTGCTTCCCAAGAACCAGTCCGCATCCCGCGGGAGGGAGGGGCCGGTCCCCTTCCCGGGCATCAGCCTCCCTGCTCGCAGCCTGAGCCCTCTCCCCAGCCACGGTGCTGCGTCCCTGCGTCCCTGCATCCCCTCGTCCCCGAGTCACGGAGCATAATCCTCTTTCAGGCCCGCGATTCGGCAGCGTGGCTTAGTCTAAAGACTCGGCTTGCTTGGGATCTGACTGTGGGGACAGAGGCCAGGTTCGTTTAGAGGGGCTTGGCTGGCCTGGCCACCCCCTGCGGCCGGCAGAGAGGAGGTGGCCAGGAGGAAGGCAGCTCCCCGCGTGGAAAATGAAGGCGCTGCTGTTGCTGATCTTGCCCTGGCTCAGCCCTGCCAACTACATTGACAATGTGGGCAACCTGTACTTCCTGTACTCAGAACTGTGAGTCCCCAGTCTGTCCCTGCATGTGTGCCTGTGTCCCTGTCTGGGTCTGTCGGGGCTGGGACCCGAGTCGGTTTCCCGGCTGTATCCGTTTGGAAGAATAAATCCCACCTACTCTGGCAGCACTTGGGCGAACCTCCCCGCCAGCAGCTGGGGGCAGAGAGATGGGCTGTCCGTGACTTGACAAAAACACACCATCTTCCAGGATGTCGCGCTTCCCAGCAAGGCATTTTCCCTGCTGCTGTGCCAACGCTGCTTTTTTTTTTTTTTTTTTTTGGTACTCTGCTTTTTCTCAATAGATGTGTCTTCTCTTCCTTCCATAAATAGAACCGAAGGGCGGTTAGGAACAGAGCTCGCATGCACAGATCCGCAGCCTCAGCTCGGTATTTCTAATAGCAAGCAGACCCCGCTCCTCGTTGAGGCAATCCATGTCCGAACCTGAAAACAGGGATAGAATGTCAGCAAAGAGGAAAAACAACCCTATGCATGAAAAATGCATGTCCATTTTCATTATTGCTAATATTAAAACCGATGGGAAGCAGAAAGAAGCCCATGAGCGCCAATATTCCCATAGCTGTGATTTGATGATTCACACTTTGCCATATTTGCTTCATCTATTATATATATATATTTTTTTTTTCTGAAATGGTCTGGAGTCAATTATAGCCATCGTGACATTTCACCTGTAAATATGTCACTGTGCATGCCTGGAAAATGAAGATATTTTCCTACATGACCCGTGCCCATTTTTTTGAGAGGAAATAACTCATGGCCCCAACGTTTGCAGTGGTATTTTTCTGGCTCCTTTGGTTAGCGAGCTTTGAGGGTGGATCGCAGACTGATGTGAGCGGCTTCTAGCCATCGTATAAAAACTCTGTGTGCCTCTGTGTTTGGGGCATTTGCAAAAATTGTGTTTCTTTTCCTTAACCGGACAGGTAAAAATAAGCAAGAGTTGGCTTATGTGCAAACGAGAGTCAGTGGGCAAATGCAAACAAGGATGCTATTAGAGTTCATAGAGCCCAGCTTAGAAAAGGTTGGTTGGTTATATATATTTTATATATGTACATAGTGATGCCACCCACGATCGTAGGGGGGTAGCCAGGGCCTCTTTTGTAATGAGCTGCTAGAGTGACCAGTTCGTCTAGCACAAGAGATGCTCCTTGGTAAATAGAGCGAGGTTCTTGAGCCAGATCACTTGTTTTGGGGACTGTACATTTCAGGACTCTCTGGCTCTGCCTTATTGGAATGTAACCCCGGCCTGCCTTAGGTAAGAAGGCTCGAAGAGAAAGTGTCTGGCTTAAACCTGAATTGGCAGCGTCTCTGGGCCAGTAATGATATTGTGGAGGCTTTTCTAGATAAACATGCCATGCGGAGATTATGAAAAGGCTTCCTTCCTCTCTCTCGATGGATGCAGAAGTTGGGAATCTCTGAAATCTGGTACTACGGTCGTATTCCTCCCTGCCCATCTGCTACGATTGTTAGTTGTTCTACTAGTTCCCTAGGGCTTCTGTACCCCATTTCCACAGACTGAGTGTCTTGAAAGAGCACAGATTTATTCTCACAGATCTGGAGTCCAGAAGCTTGAGACCGAGGGGTCAGCAAGGTGGCCTGCCGGGGGGAGGTGTCCTTCCTGGCGTCCTGCTAGTTCCTGGTGGCCCCAGGTGCTCCTTGGTTTGGGGCTGCATAACTCCACCTCTGCCCCATTCATCTGTACGGGGACGCCTCAGAGTCAACTCCAATTCTGTTGGTGTCCTCTTCTTATGAGGACCCTTGTCATTGGATTTCCAGGATGATCCTGTCTTGAGATCCTTACCCTAACTGCATCAACAAAGACCCTTTTCCAAATAAAGCCACAGTCCCAGGTTCTGGGTGAACACATCTTTGTGGGGGGACTCCCGTTCACCCCACTACAGTTGCTGTTGTCTTCCCATCTGGTTACTTTGAGATTTATAGCCTAATCGAAGGAAGGCTCTTCATAAACCGCTGCACAAGTTTCTTTTCTACACGTACATGAGTTAAAGGCAACTTTCTGTTGAATAGCTGAGCAGACACAAACAGGCCGTTCTTTCCAAAAGGTGGACCAATCTAGAAAATAGGATGCCCGGGAATTACCGGGAGGTGGTTCCCATGTTTATTTCATGTCACTTTCTTAGCGGCCGTCTGATTGTTGGATGCTCTATGGGGCGAATTCTGTGCAGCTGTTACCGACGCTACTGGTGACCATTAGCTAATCAGTGAATTAATGACACATTTCAGGTGCTGTGGTAGTCCCTAAAAAATACAGGCAGTAAGAAATTAGGCATGGTGCCCACCCTTAGCAGCTGATGATCTACTCGACAAGGTGAAATTTATACACGTTAAGAAATGCAAGCGATGACTCCAGGCAGAAAGGGATATGTATTTTTAAAAGCAGAGCAGGTACGGCCGGGCGCGGTGGCTCACGCCTGTAATCCTAGCACTCTGGGAGGCCGAGGCGGGCGGATTGCTCGAGGTCAGGTGTTCGAAACCAGCCTGAGCAAGAGCGAGACCCCCGTCTCTACTGTAAATAGAAAGAAATTAATTGGCCAACTAATATATATGGAAAAAATTAGCCGGGCATGGTGGCGCATGCCTGTAGTCCCAGCTACTTGGGAGGCTGAGACAGAAGGATCGCTTGAGCCCAGGAGTTTGAGGTTGCTGTGAGCTAGGCTGACGCCACGGCACTCACTCTAGCCTGGGCAACAAAGCGAGACTCTGTCTCAAAAAAAAAAAAAAAAAAGCAGAGCAGGTACGAAGCTGAGAGGAGGTGGATATCGTCCACGTGGGTGAAATCGGTCGGGGCCAAGCTTCTAGAGAGATCTGGAGGGTCCAGCTGGGTCTTGACCTGGACGGAGAGGATCAGGAAAAATCGTAGGGTGGGAAAAGGGAAAGTATTTTCAGGCAGAGTGAACAGCCCTGGCACAAAGGGTGGGGGCTGGCTGTGCTTGTCACCAAAGCAATTTACAGTGGTCGATAGGACAGCAGGGCCAGCTTGGCACGCCCCACACACATGGCGAGGCAAGGCGTGCAGGGGAAGGCCTTAGAACAGGATGGGTTCTGAGGACAGCCCGCCTGAGAAGTGGGGGCTGGGTTGTGGTTTTTGAAATGCAGAGTGTTGGGCTCCGAATCAAACCTAAAGTTACCATCTCTGGGAGCAGGGCGCAGGCCACGCTCATGCTCAACAAGCTCCCCAGGTGGTTCTTGTGGGCGCTGCAGGTTAAGAGCGCTTCGTTCCAGCCAGGTGCCGGCTCGCCCGGCTCTCCCTGTGCGGAGTCGTCACTCCTCTCTCCGGCGTCCTGGGGGGACTTTGGTGTCTTTCCACTCGACCTGGTGAGTCCTTTGCAGAGCTTGAGATGGACTAAGGTGGCTAAGCCCGCGTCTGCACGGTGGCTCGGTGGAGAACCCAGCTGGACTGAGCCAAGCGTTGGCCAGTTCCTCAGTGTTGCCAGCTGCGGTGTAGACCTGGTTTGGCTTCGGTGCCGGGGAGTGTTGGTCTCGCTGGTAGCGACACGAGCAGGCCGGTCTCGGGTGTTTCGGGGCGCAGCGCCGAACTTGAACGTTGAGATTGCCTGTGGCTTTTGCAATGCTGCTTTACACCAGGCGTCCTCAAACTGCGGCCCGAGGGCCACATGCCACCCGCCGAGGACATTTATCCAGGCCGCAGGGTGTTTTTGCTGTCGCTGCCTGTCCTGCTTAGCAGCCGACTGGTCCCAGGCCCACAGTGCGCATGCGTGGATTGTGCACCATTCTCTCCAACGGTCTGGGGGACAGTGACCTGGCCCTCTGTTTAAAAAGTTTGAGGACCCCCTCTTTAAACACTTAGTTTAGTGAAAATCTCAGAAAAGAGTTTGATGTGGGGTAGGGCTGGCACTGGTGATGTATTTTGTTCTCGGTGCACACCAAACTCTTGGGTTAATTACATACAGAAAATGAAAGTTTCGGCCGGGCGTGGTGGCTCACGCCTGTCATCCTAGCACTCTGGGAGGCCGAGGCGGGTGGATAGCTCAAGGTCAGGGGTTTGAAACCAGCCTGAGCAAGAGCGAGACCCCATCTCTACCAAAAATAGAAAGAAATTAATTGACCAACTAATATATACCAAAAAAATGAGCCAGGCATGGTGGCACATGCCTGTAGTCCCAGCTACTCGGGAGGCTGAGGCAGGAGGATCGCTTGAGCCCAGGAGTTTGAGGTTGCTGTGAGCTAGGCTGACGCCACGGCACTCACTCTAGCCTGGGCAACAAAGTGAGGCTCTGTCTCGACAAAACTTTCATTGTTTTTTTTTTTTAATCTTTCCCCCCACCTTTAAAATCTCTAGTTCCTATCATCCTTGGGGGAAAAAACATTTCACTTTTGTGTCACATTGAGGCAGATGGTGTGACCAGCTCATGGTATGAAGTCTGCCTGGGCTTTGAGTGGGTGCACGGTTGGGGTCTTGCTTTTCTTTTTTTAAATTTTTTAAATTTTTTTCTACATATTTTTAGTTGGCCAATTAATTTCTATTTATAGTAGAGACGGCGTCTTGCTCTTGCTCAGGCTGGTCTCGAACTCCTGACCTTGAGCGATCCTCCCGCCTCGGCCTCCCAGAGTGCTGGGATTACAAGGCCTGAACCACAGCGCCTGGCCATGGGGCCTTACTTTTCAACGTTGAGTAACTCTCTTTCGTTTGAGGGACACAGTTATCAACAAGGCAGTTAGGCCTTGTTGGAAGGTGACAAGTCCAGGAAACAAGTGCTAGCTGCCATAGCTGTGTGACTTTTGGGAAGTCGAGAAATGCCAAGGTCTTTCTAACTTAGAGTCACATAAATATTTTTTGTGTGTAAGTAGAACCACTATGACCGATGTTCATGCCAGAATCTCGAGAGAAAAATTACACTCTTATTTTTCGAGCCCTGTAGAGATAGTAGTTCTAAAGGGGGGGGGGATGGTTTATTCCCTCTGGAGTCTTGTACTCCTGAGATTCACATGAGTGATTCCAATTTTGT